GTTACCACACTCCACCATCACACGCTGGATGCATCTGAAAGCTTACCTCGGAACGCGCTTGAACGATGAGAGCAGAAAGTCCAACAGCTCGAACGACGAACCACTAACATAACTTGGTTGTGGCAATCGATTGGTTCACCTGTCAGGACTTTCCAGTCACAAACTCCACAAAGACTTGAAAGCTGCTGGACAATTCATTTTCACCTATTGGTGGCTGTGGGATTTCTGGAATACATACTGAAATCATCGTCAGTCGAACTTTCGTCCTCCTGTTCTGGTGCAATAATTGTGGTCTCTACTTTAAACTTGGCAATTAAAAGGTTTCGCGCTTCTTTGAGCTTATCAGGTAGGCACAGTTCCCGAGTTTCGTTCACTTGAACCCGAATTGCACAAAAATTGCTAAACGTGCTTATCAGGTAGGCACAGTTCCCGAGTTTCGTTCACTTGAACCCGAATTGCACAAAAATTAGCTAAACGTGCTCGTTTGCATACCAATTTGGTTTTGACGGGATACTCACCTGGAACCTAGCTGAATCTCTCATTTATGATGTTGGTTGAACACTTAGCCGTTCGGCCACGAGAGCTGATCCGTGTGTTTAAACTGCGCGCTGCCCCCCCCCCCCCCGCGGTACCGACTGGATAGCTCGGAATTCAGTCTGGGTGAGCTAAATAGTTCAGCAAGTCGAGATAAGGATGACCACCGCTTGTTTTCAGCGTGCCGGTTACTTTCAACAATGTGCAATACGAATCATCTGGCGCCTCCGAACCAGTTCTAACCAGTGCACGGGAGAGCTTGGTGGGGCTCACGTGTGAGGAATATGGCAAGTGCTGCTAATCGAAAGCTAGCTTGTTAACTCACCGTCGAGTTCACGTCCACTAAAGTTTTGGTACGAACGTGGTCGCCCAATCGACCTTCGCTGATTGTTCCCGCCTTTTTCCGACGAAGATTGGTCTGAGTCAACATCGCCGGCACGCATACCCCACGCAGCAGAAGTCTGGTCGAGTGAAGGATTCTGGTGTACGCTGGTCCCAACAAGAGTCACAGTCGCTCTTGCGCCTGGCTAACAATTTTATCCATCTTGTCACGCACAAACCGTGCTATTCGGCTTCACCATCAAGACGGGTGCTCAACTGGCAAGCACAACGCGACGAATCATCTTTTGGTGGCCCTGGCCAAACCATCGGTCAAACAGCAGCCTACTTGTCAAAAGCCGGTGTCTATAGTGTCTGGTTAAAACCAACCGTGGATTGCGTCGTGTCACTCTTGGAATATCATGCAGACAGTTCTCTCGCAAGTGTTGACCTTCTGGCACTTGCCCAGGGGTTGCAGACTGGTATCATGATACCGGAGCAAGTCCCGTCACTTCTATACCCCCACGCCTCCAAGACATTTCCACGCACCTGGAAAACTGTATCCCGACGCCTTGGTCAGTTGGCCCATCGGATACCGGCCAAACGAAAGCAGATCCGCCGAGCTAACTACTCCGTCATCCTGACCCTATACCACCAAAGACGGAAAGATGTAAGGTCTGCTGTGCTCGATGGGTTATGGAAGGACCTATACAAAGGTAACTGCGGCCTTCGTCTGACCGCCTAGCAGTATTGAAAACAGGTGTTTTCAGCTCCAAAACACGTGGATAGCTGGTCAAGTCGCGCAGCGCTACCATCCGATTGGAATGTGGTCGGGATAATTACAGATTATGGTTGTTTGGAAGCTACATCACTGTCGCCTGTCCTACTTCATCACTCTGCAGCGACTGCTTCTATGCTCAGTTTGGCGATATCTGGAAAGCGTATGATTCGGTTTCGCAAACACAATCGTCAGATGGAGCATCGTCACCTCTACTTCGATTCATCGTACAGTTCTATGAGAATGATGTAGCAGTTTTCCTCAATCCCGAGGTTCACTACTACAGAGGTGTGAGTTAGAGAGATTCACTCTCCCCATTATTGTTCAGCATGACAATAGATCAAGTTCTTGGATTATAGGTGCCACAACTAGGACACCAGTTCCATGACAACTTGAAAGATAGTTTTGCCTTCACTGACGACTGGTTCATGTGCGCAGAAACCTAGGTTCACCCTAAAGAGAGGCTTGAAGCTTCTGCGGTCGAGCTGGGAGGAGATGGTATTAGAATCAACGCCCCAAAGAAGAAGCGATGGTGGTTTATGGGGGCAGGAAACATGGGACGACAGCGGTCTCAGTCGGGCTATTATGTTTCTCCGGGGAATTCATCAATCATCTGAGCCCCTTTATGTTCAAGGAGAAAGGCGTCCTCAACTACCGACAGCATCCGCTCAAACTGCTCGATGAAGTGACGCGTGCCCATTAAGTCTTATCGAAGAATGGATATCACAAGTGAGACCACGGCCTGACACCAAGCATGACATATTCGTTTGTGCTCGGCCAAGTCCACCCAAACACTTTCAAAAGATTGGACACTTACCCCAGGAAATCTATTCGTGAATGGCTACATCTGCCAAAGGACACCCGGATCAGCTACGTCCACGTCGGCAAGCAACAAAAGGGATTTGATGTCCCAAGTCTAAGTGCAACGATCCCGATGCAGAGGACAGCGCGTACGGAAAGGACTCTATCTACCCAGTGCCGAGTACTGGGCAATGTGGTCAACGATTCCGCATTTGGCAAGATTGTTCGAGATCTCAGCCTTCCGATCCCAGTCCATGGTGCATGCGTAACCACCACGGAAGACCTGGTGGCTGCTTGGGGTGATAGTCTGCACAACAGCGTTGCCGTCGCGTTTTAGGAGAGTTGGCCGCTTCGCCTCTTTCTAATCGATGGCTTGTATTTCCAGAACAAGTGTTTCCTTGGGTATTTATCCGCGGTATTCAGCTCCGATGCAACTCGCTCAGGACGGGAGTTAGAAGCGCTCGGCATGGTTATGGTGGCCAGATGATCTTCATTCGTGTAAACTGTGGACAAACGGAGAGTTTGGTGCATATTTTGCAGTCCTGCTGGATCACGCATGAGGTTAGATGTGCTCATCATAATCGGGTTGCAAAGAAAACTTGCAAAACATCTAACGCGTCTGATATACACCGACTTCGAGGAGTTGAGAGCTCCTACTTCGACCTTCTCCATCAAGCCTGACCTAATCGCTGGTCGGGGGCACCGAGCAACTGTGATAGACGTCAACATAGTCTCGGATGGGCGCGAAGTGACTGTGTGGAATGAGAACAAACAGAAGTGCTGGTGAACCTCAGCCTTACGTGCCATCGGTTGTGACGTTGACTTTTTGGTCAAACAGCCCATAATCACTTCTTGCCGAGGGATCTGCCTTCCTCAATCCGCCAAGGCTGTTGTTGGACTGGGACTTCCGAATGTCACAGTCGGTGACTTGTGTTTGCTGTCATTGTGGGTTCTCTGCGTACTTGCGGTACTTTCATGCTTGGTGCATGGCGTAGGGTATACATTCTTGCCATTGAATCCCACACCATACCCAGTATGATGGACACTTTGTACCTGATCTGCGAGTCTTGTCTGTGCTAGCGCTTACCACGCCTTGAAAAGCATTCAGCATTGTTTGTCCTTTGTTCAGTTGTTGGCCTTTACACAAGTCTTTCCAGACCAAACATTTTTACATATGTTGGGATTCATTTTGTCTGACATGAGCAGTCTGTGGCACGAATTCGAATCCAATATATCCAATATTCTCCTGTAACCCTCTCAAAATTCATCGCCTTCATCTCTTATGTTTGTGATCACGCTTTTCAACCATGAATGATAAACATAGCACCGATCAACGTCGACCGTTGAAAAATTTGCTGGACGATTTCCTGGCCAAATTTTGCAGGTGAGATGCAGCGAACTTTGTTAGGCAGGGGAAAGCAAAAGCTGACGAGAGCCGATAACAAATCTAGGGTATATAAAATAGGTTAATAAATTTCAGGTGTGTCCATAAAGTGCTTGAAACACATAAAATCCTCTGGGCTGCTGAATGTAAAAAAAGCTCGAATCCACATCATCATAATAACGCATCTTACACAAACACAAACAGGATAAACTGAGGTTCAGTGACGATTAAAGTCTAATCGAGTGGTGGTGTTTACGGAAGCCTGAGTTCCATTGGGGGACCGTTGTTGGTATGAGAATCCAATTTGAGGGTGGAAGAAAATGAATGGTTGAACGAGACACAGAAATCTCGGTCAACTTCAACACCAGGACACCCGAAACCAGCCGTTTCCCTTTTCCCGTGAAAAGTAAGCTGAGAAAATGATACATTGAATAAAGGGATACCTCAAACCGTTTTGCCTAACCAGACAAACTCTCCGTATCTTTGACCAGCAACCGTGCTGCGCAAACTAGCGGACTAAAGCGGGACACAGAAAGGGTCTGGAAACAATTAAATCATAGTCTTCAGCATCATGACTGACCCGAAAAGAAACATTTTAGGCACATTGTGGGATTTCGCCAAATAAAATTCTGCAAAATTTCACGAGATTTATAGGAAAACCCTGTCTTGTAGCTTTATATCCAAAGTGCTTTTGCATACCTGGAGATTTTCCAGTGTGCCCCTTGGTTTGTACCAGTTTCACTGTCATTTCACATACTTTCAAGTGACAAAATTACATCAGAAGACCTCATCACAATTTTGGTGAACAGACAAACTGATATAATGCGTTGTGGAATCGAGTATCTTAAGTTGAACAGCAGCGGACAAAAACCAGGAATGCAAGTGGTCTTGATGGCGTTTCTTCCGAGATATATTCACCTGAAGAGTTCAATTTATAATAGAATGCCTTTTTGGAGTGACCAACTCTATCCAGACCTCTGATTCATTTGGCATAGGAACTATTCATATGAGCTAACAGTGAGGTGCTCTCAGACAATGGTCACACCACTGAACGCTTCATAACACTTTCCTCCGTGCTTAAGGCACGGAACATTTGACCGGATGGTCCGTGATTCAGACCCAGCCTTGGTATCTCGACTGCTCCAGTCTAGGCTTCGGTGACCTGGCAGTATCTCACTTTTTGCGCTTCTTGCGCGTGACATGACGGGTATGCACCGAAAAGCCGCCATAGCTGAAAGATCATTAGTATTAAAATACACAACATAATCTGTTTCGCTACCCTACAGGAAGTGGAGTTAGAATGTTTTTTATTCCCTGAGAATGTGAAAGAGCATGAATTTGACTAATTCATTTTACTGGTACAGGTACGATAGCGGTTAAGAAAGCATTTATTGTTCTAAGAATACTACAGAGGGCTTTATGCCGGAGGTTGACCAGTCTGTGCTCTGACAGTGGTGTTGTTCAAACCTTTAAGTGAGCTTTTTTGATGGCGTCCAGTTGGTTTGTTCCCTATGTCGCGAATCCATTGATTTTATTACCTGTGGTGTATGCATATACGAACCCACAGATATATAACAAAAATACTTTTGGATAAGAATAAACATATGGAGAAAATTCAGCATTTAGTATGAGTACATCATACATTCAGCAATTTTTAGGAACTGGAATGATTTATGTTAGAACATGACGGATACCTCCAGAAACAAAAACAATAACTTGTGAAAATTGACGTACAAAAACTATAAAATAAACAACGGGACTATAAAGTACATGCTACATATTAATGGGACCAAACCAGGATAGAACCTTACTAAAAGACTTTTATAGACTAAGTTTGCACAACTCACTTCACAGTATTAATATATTGCTTTGAAAAAGTTTTCCATGTCATGATGGTATTCTAGTTGATGTTTCTGGGGTGTGGAACCATTGCAGCTGCTAACTTTCTCGATTCCGGATGATTGTGTGTCTAATTGGGTTTCAATCGAGTTGAGCTAAGAATTGCAAATTAGGCGTACAATTACCCAGGCGTGACCGCTCCTGAAAAAGCGAGAGGCGTGAACCAACTTGGGGCAGTAATGTCGTTTCACTGTCTGAATGTACACATCGGAATCTGGCAGATGTTCAGTGGTGTTAGCATGGTAATCGCCCAATACATGACACTCAATTGAAGACTTCTGGGCTGGGACTGCACGAGTTCATATCCCTTAATGTTTTACTGAGTCCTGTACGTCGAGGAAATATTTTACAGCATAAAACTTCGTCCTGGAGGCGGAACATTTATTTTTATCAATATGAGTGGAATAGCGGTCTTACCCATCCCAAGTGACAGATCACTTCAGGATATTAGATATCAATCTCGAACCTACAGTGAATCCATGCTGAAAGTCGTGTGTGGTCTCATATTTTTTCGTTGGCTGAATACCACCTTATCATGACACGATTTCGGTAAATACCTGCGCCCGTTTCACGTAACTCCCCTGGAATTCTCAAGGTTCTCACGATCAACGATCGAACTGAACCTCAACAACGAAGCGCATTTCGGAGAATAGATAGATAACGCGTTTATTCGAGAGTATGATCTGCTCAGCTCGTCCGTTTTATATTCATTAACACATCCATAGTTCGTCGTCTGTCGTTATGATTGCCATGTGTACCAGGCTTGTGAAAACTACGGCAATGTTATATGCGATGACGAAACCACAGAGCAAAATCTGAGTGAAGACGAACCGAAAATTGCAAAGTATTCGTACTGATAAAAATGGGTTTTACTTAACACACACTATCGAGGTAATGGACTATCAAAATTGCCTAACGATTAGCATCGCCCCAGGGTAACTGTCCAGTAGAGCTACTGTAATTTGGATAATGTGATCGCAATGTGAAAGCCAACCACGAAAACCCTAGTATTCTTCTGAAAGAGTAGAAAATGAAGATGGATCGAACGTTCCAAAATGACCTACTTAGTAAACTCGAATCAGCATCAAATCTATCGTTCGCCTCAAGTTTGACGTCTCTAGGTTGCAACTGATTATGTCCAAGAATAACAGAAGTGTGATTTTTCTTCAGTATCAAGTTCCTAAGAGGTCGCTATATATATTTGGGAAAAACAATGTGCAATTAGCACAGGACACCGAGAATACGTGTTTTAGCGTTTTCAAACTTTTTCAACCTCGTCAAAAAAATGAAAAACATGCTACCAGAAACTCTCGTTTATTCTACTTTACTAATTGCTTATCCATCCAAAATATTTGTCAGTTCAATTAAGTTCTGAAAAACGGTATAACAGCACACGCACAGACTTCCTGACTTGTATCAATACGACGACTGACAACTATGTATGATATCCATATTAATCGAGTTGAAAACCCTTACTACGTCCAGATATAGCTAAAGGGGCTTGCAAGTTAGGTCACGTCAAAGCGCTTGTGTTTGATCGAGTAGGCGGGACATTTGTATTTGTTCAATTATTCACACAAATGTAACATGTAGCACTTTGGGTTTATGGTAGGGGATTACCTCAGCTTGCATTTGAATCATTTGAGTTGATAAAATCGAGTGACCCATGGGATCGTCTCATTTGGTTTGCTCATGTGTATGCAAATTTGCTCCGAAGAGTAAGACAAGCATGCTAGGATTACTCACAAAATTTTCCCATATATTTCAAGCTTATAAGGCGCTATTTGACTGGAAAGTCCTGACAGGTGGATCGGTCGATGCGAACATGGCAGTTACTCGATCGTCATTCGAGGCGCCTGACGAACTAATTACACCGTTCTAGGTAGGTAGCAATTTAGACACCAAAATTCGGGTCCGATCAGCGTGCGCGGGCGGAGTGCTGATAATATGTTCCCTTTTCAGGTGGCCGGGATCACATGCACTAGCTGTTCTGCTGAAGAACTTACGGGTGCATTTTTAACGGCATGAACCAAATTATCCCTCACTGAAACTGGAGAGTCAACCGCCACACGAATAACTTCAGACCGTCTTGGTGTCGACCGCTGCCTGCTTGCTCTCCAGATGCACCGACTTTGTTACTGCGCTAAATATTTACTCGTCTCTGTATGCGAAAATGTGCGCAATTACCGTCAGAACTAAACAGAAGTCTATCGCTTTGGAGCAGGGTAAAAGTAAGCAATCCAAAATCGTTCTCCCTGACTTGCTCCTGCGTTTCATCCGTTTGGGAAAAAAGCGAAAGTTTTCCTAATAGCCTTTAACAAATCATTCACTTCTACTTCTCTACCGAACTACTTGTCAGCTTATCTGATCCTTCCAAACGATCCTTCTATCCAAAATAGGTGACCTGGATTGTGTCTGTTATATTTCAACAATCACACCCCTGGATTCGCGCCAACCGTTTTAGAATTTGTCGCTCAACTTGATCAGCCGCTTTGCCTTCTACAATATCATACGTCCTCCTATTCCAAAATAGGGAGCTAGCACTGGTTCAAGCGAATATCGATTAATCCTCGATATCATAATTTCATCTTGACCGAACAGCTCCTTCCTGACATCAAAGATCAACAACTTGGATTCAGACTCAGTTTCATAAGTGATATGTCGGTTCATCCCCCACTTTGATAAAGGGAATATGTTAACCGTTGAAATATGGGAACTTGCACGGATATTGCATGCGAAGCTTCCCGCCGAACTGCATTCGTGCCTAGTAAGCTGAATCGGAAACTTTACTGACGGTCAGTCAGTGTACGTAAGAGTCGATGGAGTTGGCCCTCGGATACAGAACATCAGCGATGAAGTTCCCCAGGGATCTATGCTCTTATTCATCCGCCAACCACATTACCTTCCATCCACGCATTTGCAGACCGGATCACTGCGCGTCCCTCTCACAACTCTGCGTCACTCAGTACGATGACCGCGAATACAAAATCACCACATAAAATGCTAACTTTGTCACTATACTGTCACTACGGTTCGTCGAATGTAGCGACGAACGATCGTCTAGTGTCTCTAAGTGCCAACTTCCCTTCGTCATCATACCCTAGGGTTGATAAATCACAGGTGGATTCCCGATAACTTTGCTGCCAACACGGAATCCATGTTGGCAATCAATGTCCCATCTGCTAATTTCATATGTTCAAATGTTCATATTTCTAAGGAAGAATGGAATGACCAAGCTTCGTGGAAACCAGGCTTCCGATGAAAATGTCAGGCATAATTTGAAAGACAGACTTTCAAAAACTACCGCGACAATACTACGTCTGCCCTCGAAATTGTTTTCGTTTCGTCCGACAGTCTGCCTAGCAAAATGAGCACAATGCCCGTCTTCAATTGTCGTACCACTTTCTGAGGAAAAAAATCGTTCAGCTGTAGCGCTCTTTCGGTGCCTAGCTGCCATGCCACCCGAAGGAACCACGAGGGTTGGGATAGTGTCAGGTTGCCCAAGCCTAGAGAGGGGAAGTCCAGAGGCAGAGGTCGGGTTCGAACCACGGACCTTCCGGTCAGTAAATTCGCGCTCTAACCACTTGAGCCATCTGAGGAAAACCTTCGGGAAAAATATAGACACTGCGTGAAATTCCATGCAATAATAATCAACGCTGCGTTGCATAGCCCTGACAATCTTAGGGAGTGCGGCGATGCTGAATTCAGTTTCACAACATTATTCTTTGTTGAGAGGCTAACACAGACGGTTGTTTCATCCCTTCTGGGATGTGCCGGTTATGCAAACGGTTCATGCTTAACGGAAAATGTTATTCGAGGTCACGCGTAGCAGCGCCGGACCTTCTTTTGTAGGCCATCAAATATAGTTTGGCAGAGATAAACCATGAATAACAGTATACATCTTGACCACAAACGTTCCCAAACTCAGCCTTCAAAGCTTGGTTCAGATTGGCTGACTCACAAAATTCCACCGCTTAAGTACGCTTGGCAACAGTAAGCGTCACGTAAGGAATTCGTATACCAAACAACACACTGAAGAAGCTTGTCTCGCTTATACTACGAATGGCAAATCCGCTTTTTCCTTATAATACATTGATGTCTTCCACAAAGAATGAACATAACTGCCCGAATTCCGTTCGCCAAAATAATCTAAGTGCTGCTGTTCCAGGTATGATCGAAATCAATACATTTAGTGGCTATGGAGTCATTATTGAGGCTCCAATCTGATTGTTTTACCCGAAAAGCATACAAATGCAGTGCATTGTGTTGATAATGGGTTTTTCTCTCTGAAACACCTGAAAACCTGATTTGTTGATCTGAATCAGTCATGTAATCGAAACCGTTTACGGAGGACGTGCTTTCAATAGGCGGACCGAAAGAGGGTCACTGCTTAACAGTAATGTAGCAACGACATGAAAATGATGACTGATCAGGCTGGTGGTGCACGACACTATACCTATTTGTTGATCCGGGAACCACAAGAATTCGGTTAGTTCTGTTGTGAACACATGCTACTCGGTGCTGTTTTGAGTAAATATGAGGAGACTGGTTAATCCCTCACAGCCACCTCCATTTTACCAGTATATTTCTCTGTTTTACGAGGCTGAATGTTCTGTATTCTCCGGACGTTTAATCCAGCTTAAAAAGTAATTATTTCGACACCTGTACTGTGAGTAGACGGACCCAGGAGATCATTGTGCCTGCGCATGATTTGAAAGGGGTTGTGAGGTGTATTATGCATGCCTTTTTTCTATATCTATATATATTGTAGAGACCTCGGACGTTTTCACAAGATGCATGCCAATATACCAACATTTTCGTACCCAGGATATACTCGCATGATATCGTATACAAGGACTAATAAGGCGAAGCGCTTGTCAGTGCGTAACTGTCTCTTTTATCGCTTTTTTCACTCTATAGTCGGCTTAAGTAAGAGGGAGAGAAAACCTTTGCCCCAACGCATTCAACTGAGAAAACAGAATACTGGATAGTCTGTTTTAACCGCACAAGCTTTTTCAGATTAGTTGCTATCCCTTAGCCTTCCAAATGGGAACTATACGATTTCAACCTGTCTAGCCAATGTTTAATGACAAGTTATAAATTGGATTCAGTTTGATCTATTTTTCTATCTAACTAGTATCAGAAATCCAGCTTATTTTTCTGTCAGCCCGGAAGAAATCTCTTCATGCATCCCCAGTTGATAACAGCCAAAATTTGTTCTCTCATCACATTACGAAATCTGAGCTAGAGTCAGTTCACGGGAAGCGCACGAGTTTCGTTCACAGCCTGTAGTTTGAAAAACTTCAGAAGTGACCTCAAGGCAGTGCTCAAACTGATTCCAAGGTTTGTGGCGACACGAACTAACCCCGAAACCCGACACAACCCGAAAAAACTTAACGAAAGCACATTTATTTCTAAATCTCCCAGATATTTCACGTGATTTCGTGTGCACATAGTAAAGCAGGAAGCTAGCTGGAAAGACCAATGTGATCGGGAATGTGTAAACAAAACACTGAGCCATAGGGTTTTACCAAAACGGCACGTAAGGACATCGGGGTGTAAACAGCGAATGTGGACATAAGTCGCAGCGCTAAGTTGATAAGGCCAGCGTTTGGAAAGTCGACGTTCGAATCCCGGGACACACTAGACTGTCAACAAGACGAACCCACCAGCATGCAACATGTGACCTACACATTGTGGCAGTAATAACTCTGGGAAGGTCACATCTCTTTAAAGCCTGTAGGTTCTTTAGAAGCTTATCGCGAACAGTCCATATTCTAATTATTCCATAAGATTGACTACAATCTACTAATTTAAGGGTAGTGAACAGAGAACGTATAATGAGCTTATTGAGGGTGTCATCAAAAGCCGGTGCACCGCTTACATTGTAAAAGTCTCGACAGATCAGAACAGGCCGGCTTACTCCATCAAAAACACCGAAATGTGCTGCAACGAATTGACTACCATAATAGAAGGACGTACAGTGAAAAGTCGCCGGTTCTGTGCTATAAAAGTTTTTTGAAAGTATTTACATGAGCCATAGTTACCGTCGAAAAAGACGGAATAACGGATGTCTTTCTTTTGACTTATCCTTGCGGGAGGCAGCGGAACTTGTGTCCATATAGATGGCATCGTCTGCACCAGAGAGACTAGCCATTCGACTCGCTTTTCGGACAGCAGATCCCACGGAAGCGGTACGCTTCAGGCCAGTGACATCGTCCGGATCGGTGGGTAGCCGTTCTTCCATCGCGTCCTCCTCAGTGCTGGCCAGAACGCGGTGAAGCAATTCAGCCTGTTCTTGTTTCGTGCTTAGTTTCAAGGGCTCATTCTCCATTCCAGCGAGACGAGTAATTACCTGCAGGAAAAACATGATATGAACGAAAGGATCAGAGAAACTTTTCGTCCGGTTATGAAACTGATATATATATATATATATATATATATATATATATATATATATATATATCAGTGACGAGAGGGTGCCGCGCGTCTTTTTACGAGANTTCAACGAAGTAAGGTTGCCGAACGTCCCTTTTCGAAAGGCCGAAAAACTGGGTTAATACAAGAATCCGAGTATGCACAAGGTCATAAGGTGAAAGCTCACAGTCCTATTGGTGATGACTGCTGTTGGTCATATACACCTTGAAAAAAAGCACAGAAATACCACTGTCAAACACCGTGGAGGGCAAGTGTAGTCATGATATAATGCACAACTATCCAAGCAAGGAGGAAAACCAGCAAAGTTTGAAGTAAGAACACACAGGATCTGTTCGTCTTGATCCAGTTCTGACAGTTGTCAGGGAGTTGTTAGTAGGTTCGTTCCAACCGAGTGGTTTGAGGAGGATAGTGCTCTGTGGGGTAGACCGCATATGAACTCAGTGTTTCTTATCAAACACCTCCTGCATTCTCAAGTCTACAACAGAACGCATTGCTGCGTGCTGTATCTTTGCCTTCCCGATTAAATCAACCAGTAATGTTCTGGTACTTACGATAAGCTGGGTAAGTTAACTGAAGCTGACCAGTATAGGATGCGAGCAAAACATTCAAACACGTTCTCTTTCCTCAGTATAACTACCACCATCTCGTCGGATAGAACGTCCTAGTGTCCAAAACCAGTGAAAACGGATGTGATCGGGCTAACGAGCAGTGAATGAGCTATCAATAACCGCTTTAAGACTATACTATTTCATTCCGCCCCCCCTGTTCTATTATCAAACATTGCGATAAAGAGATAAAATGCATCGAAAAAGTGGCTGGGAACGGCGATCAGGTAGGTGACAAAATTATTATAAAAACAAAAGAAATGAACTGACATCAATCATTTATTGATTTCTATCCACTGGTCTCGTCGAGAAAAACGATTACAAACATCGGAATCTCAGTAGGCAATTCGAAAGCTCGACTAATTCGCATTGTCTGATTGAGTTTTTGTTCAGAATACCACCTGAAAAGATACGGATGTAACAGGTTGACAAAATGTCCTCAGACCATGGACTTCTATAGTGCTTCGGAATGCCAGTAGTTGCAGCAAACGAAAATTGTCACCTTTTAGACATACGAGCAAAATAGTGCATCGGAAATGCAGACTCGTCAACCGCCTTTTGGGCTAAGAGGAATAAATTTTGAGTCACGGAAAACAGCATCAATGACTTATCATAGCAATCGGCTCACTTTGTAAGCATAACCTTGGTTGACCAAAAATCTCTGGCGTTTCAGTGCGTACTGCATTTCCATGGTGTCCTGAGATACAAGTGAGTAGAAGAAGGCGTTGTAAGCCTCCGCATCCATGCCACGTTTAGCCCGTAAAATTCGCCCCAATCGCTGCGCTTCTTGTCGTCGACTACCTCCGTGAGCACTGATCTGGATGAGTACAGTGGCTTCTGGTAGATCAAATGAGTTATCTGCCACCTTTGACACGAATATAGCTGGGACCTACATACGTTAAACGGAAACCAGAAGAATGTAGTTTGAACAGGGACTAAGCAGTCACTACATAATCCAAAGTTGTCAAATGAAGAGTTACGATGAAAAACCGAACGAATGGCCATTTCTAGCCATTGTCGCAACCAAGCAGATGACCACTTGCACACACAAATACACAATAAGGAAGCCATGTATATGGCCGTATTTCCAGTTATCATGGAAGCATCGAGCCGGGAAGTGAACTACCATAAGCTGTCAAAATAATTCAACCAGGACAAGCATAGAAAAGCTACCAGGTTTCAATAAGAAACGCCATGGATAACGACCCAACTCTAATGATTCGAACGCAAAATGTCTACCAGAAAGAACAAACAAAGGTCAACCGGTGGAGTTAATAGCCTCATGGAAGACAAATAAAACAGTAGTGTTTATCGGATCTCTCCTCCTCTGAATAGACCACCGATTCATAACTAGTGGTTATTTGGTAGCCGAAGGTGACCAGTGGCTTCAAGTGAGCCGACCACCCATGGGGTGGATCGCAGAAGCCTCTGTTAAGAGAATCCTTCGTAGGACCAACATGGCCAACTGTATCGACAGATGCTAACGCACCCAACTTACGTTAGCCTGATTCAATGCTATGGAAAAGCAAGCTAATGGCATACTACTGTGTTCCTCATAAACAACTTTCCCCTGTAATTCCAACTATACCACCCAAAAAATTCACAGTAAGACTAATCCCTTAGAAAGGACACCAATATGTGCACAGCACCTGAACAGCGAGTAAGTTCGTGTATAGTCGAATTACTTCTAACCTGTATTTTTTACCATCACAGAGAAAGCGAACTGGACCAGTACACTTTTACTGTGATATCCCGTTATGCGGGCTCAGCAGCTTTTCTGCCAGACGTAATGTGTTGCCGAGCAACGCAAGGTCAGCGTTTAGTGACGAGGTTCAGTGGTTTACTAACCGCTTTTCACGAAGCCATTACGAATCGTGCACACGAATTTCATATTTTGTGACCCAAGGAACAAAATTAGTTGCTAGATAGGTACTTACCCGGGAACGAAATACAAGCAAACAAAATGGACAAGTGTTGGATCAGCCAAAAAAACATGAAGCGGCAGTGAAGTGACCTTGACTGGAGGGTCTTGATCAGGGGACTAGTGAGAGACAATTGCGTACGTTTGCCTGCTGCTGCAGCCAAAGCCTTAACAGAGCCCAAACAATTGAGGCCGAAAAATCGAGAACGAGTGCCAACATTCCACTGAACACACAGAATACGTCCTGGTGTGCGCAGGCAGTGCTTGTGAGCCGAATTAACAGCCCCATAAAAGGAAAACCACGAAAGCAGTTCTGTCACCAGCCAATGAAGATCGAACCTTTCACAGATCACCATAGCTTATGAAGCATACTTTGCATACCTAAAGAGGGCGGACGAAAGTACGGCACGGTGTTCTGGGTAACACCCATAACGAAATTCCACGTCAATTCAAAGTTAAGTAAGCGCGTGAAAGGTATGGAGAAGCATGATTCACCCAGCTGCTTGTAATAACCGGCAAATGTGTCTACATGGGATTCTTGTGGTCAGGACGATGATACAGGCATAGGTTATCACTATTCAAATCAAAGCTCATAAACCTGAAATACTGTACCATGCAAATACAATGCAAGCAGGCCAGCAATGACGCCACCTTAAAATCCACTCTAAACGAAATTGAAACTGAAAACCGACGAAAAGAAAAAAAACAAAACTGCAAAAATTAGTCCAGTAGGATGGTGAACACCGCCGTTCAATGTAAACGTGTGGATTTGACATTGATACCAGCAAAGCGACTATGGCCCGTAAAGTAAGTACGTCGGGCGGATATCTATGAAAACATGGAGAAAGGCTATTTCCAGCAAGCACAAGGGTACAACATTAGTTGGTTGCCTAAAACTAACTACATGGATGAATAAAGAAAAACGAAGTAATGACTAGAAAAACAAAAGTAGATTTGATGGGGAAATTTTCCGTGCTATCCACTCGAAAACTTCGAATGAAACCAACCGCTACACAGATGGACAGTCCGCTATGTATAAATGGCAGATGTGGAAGTCAAACTTGGTCTGGTTGGAACCGCCAGTTTGCAGAACACAGCACTTGTACTCAAAGTACAATCTCAAAAGACCACTCTTAAGGGATGTTGGCTAGGCGTTCGTGTTCTGTCGGGAGTTGACTAGTTACAGAAAAATCAAGTCAGGGCTATAGTAGAGCTTTAATGCCGAACGAGTCAGCATCATTTTGTTTTCCGAATGTGGCAAATCGGTTGCAGCTGTACCGTGGACCGTTGCGTATTCACACATAGGTTTTACCCATTGGAAAGCGTCTTTGATTATGACATACCACAACAAATACACGCGTGACCGACTCAAGCGGGATTTTGGGGTATACTACAACAACGTACAAAGTAGTGAATGATATGACAGGTTTAGGATATGACAAGTTCTTCTGGCAGGTATTTTTGTTCCCACTACGCGTACTTGGACTTCCCATCTCAATACTACTTGAATCTCCATCTATCTTTGGGTAACCGAATGATGTCAACATATGGCTCATGGGGGCATTCAACACAAAAGGCTCACTGACGGGACTGACAAATACCATGCGTTAAGCCGATGTGCAACGAACCACCAAGTGTGTGACGAGGTGTAGCGTACACGGTAGCCTAGTTGATACAGCAGTTGCTGGTAAGGAGGAGCAAGTAGTTTTAGTCCGCCGTCTGGTTTGTCAATTTGTTATACAAGCATGAAGTTTTCATCTCCATAGAACTAATCTCTCAAAACCTCCAGTCCATACGTTGTCTACCTCTTGACTTGCCAACAGATCAACGATGAAGTCGAGTCAACTAACAATTTTTCACTACAGAGAGTAGGGAATGCTGTACCGGCACCTCGGGTAGCAAATAAAGGTTGCCTTATATGAGGTGAGCGATTTCATCCTAGCCGATGTATCCAGGCGGTCGAAGCGTTTCCGAATGTGCGTCGTGTTAACCGCACTTGTATGACGTCTCGGCCGTAACTATTCATCTCCTGTCGGTCGTACGAAGTCTCACTGTGGACAGATATTGAACCAACTTACTAACGTGATAAGTAATCAGCCTGAACCGTGCTAAACAATTCCATTGAGGATATGCGAAATACGCTGCGCAGTATCCGTTCTGACCCAAAGCTCTCCGCAGTGAAAGTCCTCGTGGAAACACCAGGAATCAGCAACTGGTATTCGTGAGGTGTAAAACAGTAAGTTCGAAGTGCGCAACGCGTGCTGACTTGGAGACCAGTTGGGAGAACTTCCCGGTTGTTGTACCCACGTGCCGGAATCACATGTTTAGTTCGACAATAACGACCTCACTTCCGCTCGCAGACCACCACATCAGTTAACCGTCCAACGATTCTAGATGCAACCGGATACGTTAACTCTTACCTCATATTACCGCATCCAAATAACCCATTAATTGCAATAAACTACAGAACATAGCTGCATATAGACGATTGATTAATTCCTGATACACACAGTTCTCTACACCTTAAGAGCCACATCATTTTCAATAGCGTTGCGTCTGGTTCGTTTGATGAAAAGCGGAAGCTCGAAATGAGAGAAAAACGACTTTTGCATCCACCTGGCACAAGCTAACTGATTGCATTCGGTTTTTTCACCTAAGGATAGAACGTTACAGAAAACTGCTAGCTAGTGTTGCATGAGCAAGCGAAAAAAAGTGCTACCAAAATGTGACTTCCGCTTTTCTGTATGCGGCAACAACACACAGAGGCGACAGCAAGATTCTCGTATCACGCAACGGAATGGAAGAGTGGGAAAATGCAATGAGGAAACACAAGGCACAAATGAAATCATGAGAATATTCCCTTTCTTATGGAGAAAAATGCTATCTGTTGTTTCATGGAAACGGTGTACATCCTTCACGTAAGTTCACGTTCTAACTAATTTGGTAGGTACCAAAAGTTATTACGACTTGAAAATGCCTTCTTATCCAGAAATGTGTTTAGACAGCTAGTCTGACATCAGACGTTGCGATGCGTTAGGTCGCTCCTTATTTCACCTGCAGTTCAGGTGTAAAAAAAGAGGAACACCCTGCAGTTGGCTGTGGGCACAAACCCACTGCTCATTGAGGTGATCCAGTGATCGACAGACCAGCTAATCGAAATGGCCCACGGAATTTTCAAAGCCTTTCCTAATAATCCGAGTATGTACAGGCCAATATTTCACGTAACACTGGAGCAAACAGGTCCCAACATCAATGAATTCAGTGACGCTAGAAGTAGACGTGATTTGACGGGACCGGCGACGAGCGCTATACTTACACTGAAGGGAGCGCGTCATTGGTGAAAGCTTTTGGAGTGTGTTGTATGTCAGGAGACTTTGGCGATTACGAAGACCGAAAAGGCGTTCTATAAGAAACAGCATGCACCACTTTATAGAAAAACAGGAAAGTCTAAGGAAAGTGAGAGACTCTGATCATACACTCAGATGCCCCAAGAAGATACCTAATTAACTATCTGTAATGCGAGACCAGAAGAGGAAACAGTGGCTTCACATGACGACTTGTTTAACATTGTTTATATTTGTGAACCTCGATTCAACCACAACTGCGTTGGTACTATTACACAGCCATGAAATACAGAGTTATACCTTGGAGAAAGAACACACCTAAAGACTGTCTAATTTCTGCTTGACCTAATACCTTGAATGTAACGGCGAATATTACGAACAACTGACAGACGCATCAAATGGGTTTCTAATTTCAGGGTTAACCGCCGAGATTGCAATACAAAAGCGGATCTTTATATAGCGTTATTGATGGCTGTGTTACGTAGACTATTGTTATGATCAAAAAGAATGGATTACAACGAACAGTGCAATTAACAGTATTTGCGACGACATCTTCATGAAGAAGAACATGATTGCTAACTATTATTTGTAGGTGCCCTCTTCCCTTCCGAACAGAAGAATGGA